TGTACAGACCTCCCAGAGTAATACACGTAGTCCCTGTGTAACCTGACCACACACTGTACAGACCTCCCAGAGTAATACACGTAGTCCCTGTGTAACCTGACCACACACTGTACAGACCTCCCAGAGTAATACACGTAGTCCCTGTGTAACCTGACCACACACTGTACAGACCTCCCAGAGTAATACACGTAGTCCCTGTGTAACCTGACCACACACTGTACAGACCTCCCAGAGTAATACACGTAGTCCCTGTGTAACCTGACCACACACTGTACAGACCTCCCAGAGTAATACACGTAGTCCCTGTGTAACCTGACCACACACTGTACAGACCTCCCAGAGTAATACACGTAGTCCCTGTGTAACCTGACCACACACTGTACAGACCTCCCAGAGTAATACACGTAGTCCCTGTGTAACCTGACCACACACTGTACAGACCTCCCAGAGTAATACACGTAGTCCCTGCGTAACCTGAACACACACTGTACAGACCTCCCAGAGTTATGCACATAGTCCCTTTGTAACCTGACCACACACTGTACAGACCTCCCAGGGTAATACACGTAGTCCCTGTGTAACCTGAACACACGCTGTACAGACCTCTCAGAGTAATACAAGTAGTTCCTGTGTAACCTGAACACACACTGTACAGACCTCCCAGAGTTATACACGTAGTCCCTGTGTAACCTGAACACACACTGCACAGACCTCCCAGAGTAATACAAGTAGTCCCTGTGTAACCTGAACACACACTGTACAGACCTCCCAGAGCAATACACGTAGTCCCTTTATAACCTGACCACAAACTGTACAGACCTCCCACAGTAATACACGTAGTCCCTGTGTAAACTGACCACACACTGTACAGACCTTCCAGAGTTATACACATAGTCCCTGTGTAACCTGACCACACACTGTACATGACCACAAACTGTACAGACCTCCCACAGTAATACACGTAGTCCCTGTGTAGCCTGAACACACACTGCACAGACCTCCCAGAGCAATACAAGTAGTCCATGTGTAACCTGAACAGACACTGTACAGACCTCCAGAGTAATACACGTAGTCCCTGTATAACCTGACCACACACTGTACAGACCTCACAGAGTAATACAAGTAGTCCCTGTGCAACCTGAACACACACTGTACAGACCTACCAGAGTTATACACGTAGTTCCTGTGTAACCTGACCACACACTGTACACACTTCCCAGAGTAATTCTATTAGTCCCTGTGTTACCTGAACACACACTGTACACACTTCCCACCAGAGTAATACACGTAGTCCCTGCGTAACCTGAACACACACTGCACAGACCTCCCAGAGTAATACAAGTAGTCCATGTGTAACCTGAACACACACTGTACAGACCTCCAGAGTAATACACGTAGTCCCTGTGTAACCTGAACACACACTGTACACACTTCCCAGAGTAATACAAGTAGTCCCTGTGTAACCTGAACACACACTGCACAGACCTCCCAGAGTTATACACATAGTCCCTGTGTAACCTGACCACACACTGTACAGACCTCTCAGAGTAATACACGTAGTCTCTATGTAACCTGACCACACACTGTACAGACCTCCCAGAGTAATACACGTAGTCTCTATGTAACCTGACCACACACTGTACAGACCTCCCAGAGTAATACACGTAGTCCCTGTGTAACCTGAACACACACTGCACAGACCTCCCAGAGTTATACACATAGTCCCTGTGTAACCTGAACACACACTGTACAGACCTCCCAGAGTTATGCACATAGTCCCTTTGTAACCTGACCACACACTGTACAGACCTCCCAGAGTAATGCACGTAGTCCCTGTGTAACCTGAACACACACTGTGCAGACCTCCCAGAGTAATACACGTAGTCCCTGTGTAACCTGAACACACACTGTGCAGACCTCCCAGAGTAATCCAAGTAGCCATTGTGTTACTTGAACTTCTGACTGTAATTAACAAAGTTATACACATAGTCCCTGTGTAACCTGACCAAACACTGTACAGACCTCCCAGAGTAATACACGTAGTCCCTTTATAACCTGACCACACACTGTACAGACTTCCCAGAGTAATACACGTAGTCCCTGTGTAACCTGACCACACACTGTACAGACCTCCCTGAGTAATACACGTAGTCCCTGTGTAACCTGAACACACACTGAACAGACCTCCCAGAGTTATACACATAGTCCCTGTGAAACCTGACCACACACTGTACAGACCTCCCAGAGAAATACACGTAGTCCCTGTGTAACCTGAACACACACTGAACAGACCTCCCAGAGTTATACACATAGTCCCTGTGAAACCTGACCACACACTGTACAGACCTCCCAGAGTAATACACGTAGTCCCTGTATAACCTGAACACACACTGTGCAGACCTCCCAGAGTAATACAAGTAGCCATTGTGTTACTTGAACTTCTGACTGTAATTAATAAGCAATTACATGAATAATAGTCAAGGACCGACACACGTTGTTGGTGAATTTTGACATATTTCATATTGTTTTTTTTGCAAAGGTCAATTATTGGCTCAATATGTACATCAAATGACATAAAAACAGTTTTGAAATTTTAAATATAATGCAGAAACATATTCTTTAAAAGTCTTAAATGCAGTACAACATAAAATAATTAGTGTAATTTACGTAAATATCTTATTTATTTTTAGTAACTCAACACCACAATTACCACATTCGCATTATTAATTATTTTAAATGTCAAAATAAACTTGTATCCTGGTTTTTTTCGGTTAGTCATATCATCAATTTAAAAAAAAAAGTGATCAATCATTTACCTAAATGGTTCAGTAAGGATAAACAACTGAAACCCAGGATAAATATCAAACAAATTATAAATTAGTTTCCTTGACTCGTGCAACAAATAATTTTAAAGCCACCATACAGTTTATCAGATATATAAACGCACAATGTATGCATGTACTTCATAATATACTAAAACAAGAGTAATGCTATTAAAACAGATATGTGTACAAAATCTAACAGTTCATACTGGATCAGCATCGTCTATGCGTCAACCTAACAATGCATATCCATCGCAATATAATACAGACGTGGGCTAATATTTCTGCATTATCTTACTTAATGTGGATGTTAAAACTTGAAATGTGTCTGAGGACTATGTGATTCGATATGAGGTCATTAAATCGTTTGACAGGTCGGGAAATATACAGCTATATATGTGAATCATTGCATTGAGTTTTGATTCTTGGTAGAATACCGTTAGGTATTTCAATTACTATCGTTCAAATATTTTTGGCATTTCCAATTCTCCAACGCCAATAGTTTCAGGGACTACAATATTTTAATCCAAAGAAAACTTAACGCCGTTATCTTTAATAATTTCGATACTAATGGACAACTCGACGAAGATCAAAATGCATTTTTGTTTCTTTTATACATATTGGTTACTTCTATATATATATATATATATTTGACTTATATATTAAGGTTACAAGATACAAGATACAAGAAACTTTATTTAACCTCGCATATATCAAACAGAGAAATATTAGCGCTGTAGCGCTATTTTTGCGACAAACATGATAAAAAGCAAACAGATAACAACAATTCATATACACTATCACAGAAAGCTAGCACATAATCAGCGAGTAAAACATACAATAACATAGCAGCATAAATACGGTTAGCCTGTTAACCGGTTATATATACTCGGTCGGAAGACCACGAGACGGTTATCAAAATCAATTACCGAATAGTCGGGACATTTATTAACTCATTTGGGGTGCCCCATCCCTGGCTTAGACCTGCAGACAAAAATCAGATAGTTTTCGTAATACAGTGTTCAGGCTGACATGCTAGTGTTGTTTTAGTACTATCGCACTATATTGTAAAAAAAATGACAAAGGGATGCCGCCAACAAATGAACAAACATGTATTAAAACGTTTGTCGATCAAATTTTGTTCTTAAGAACAAATAAACCGCGTATGATTTCAAGTAAAGATAACTGTAATTGAATCCCGGCTTACTGTAATTCTGACATCTGTTGTCCATGAAATATTATAATTGTATTATTTCAACTTTTTTTCATAATCACATTTTACTACAGTTACACGCACATTACAATTGTTTCATATAACTATTTTCGTTCTGCAACTATATATCAATCAGAATCGGTATATATATATATATATATATATATGAGTCTACCTGTTTACTCATGCATGTACAAAGTTTATATTAATTTAGAAAATATTTCCATCGTATATTTCACGTTTTTTTAAAAACAAGTACATAGTACCATGGCATCTGTAAATAAGACAGATCATTTCTATTTTGAATAAATTTAGACGTGAAGTTATCCGACAGAAATATATGGCTCTAAAGGCTTTACCCAAAAATATATTAACAATGTCAGCTTAGTTAAGTAAGTAAATGATTGATAAAAATCTATTTGCATTTGATTTTTTCTTGCTTTTTGTTGTGATAGGCATACAGACCCTTATATTCTATTTTATTATTAAACTTAAGGTATGTTTCCCCTTCCAGAATGGTAGGAGCTGGTCGTCCATGAAATATACTTACATGAGGTAACATGAACCTAATTTCTGAGTTTAGTTTGAAATATGCGAGTAAAGTGTCATGCTAATTAATATATACATGTATATTTTTGGTTAAATACGTTTTAAATAAAGATATAGCATAATATCATTGTAAAGTGTTTGATTACCAGATTGACCGATTAACCAGTTACTCGATCGAAAGATTGTTCGAGTAACCGGTTACCAAAATTCGACCGGTTTGATAACCCTATTATATATATATACAAATTTACGTCTGGAAAAATGCAACGAGATGACCTGATCTTAGAAAATTAACGAAAATAATGAAATCAATATAAACACACTTGCCTTTCTGGAAATAAATGTGATCGACTTTTTTACAAATATAGATGATATATATCCATCAAACCAATGAGACAATACCTGTCCTCACCCACCTTTTCGTGATTCACATAAAACACTAGTGTGTCCCCTGTCTTCTCCATAATGTTAAGTAACATCAGGGCAATAACATATGGTTATAATGTGGTTATGTGTATATGACACAGACGGCTATGAAAGTTCATCTCATTCATGCAGGGTTTTTTTCACAACTTTTGCATATACCTTTATATTACAGGAGATGTAACGACCTTTTAATTTGTTTTCCGGTAGTGTATATTTCTGTTTTAGCTTGTCATCCATAGCAGTGTATATGGTATATTTATTATATCCACGGTATACCGTCATGTATGTAGCGCAGGTAGTACAGGTGTACTAGTATCCGGATATGTGGCCAAGGTGATCACACAGGTAGCTACAGCCGCTAGAGGCGGGACGGTTAACGTGTGACGTGCGGCACGTGTTGCAGGGGCGACACGGGTGTCTATCGAGTTAGAAAGGTAGTTTGAGGGTAACATAGTCATTCGAGTCTTGACGGTTTATCTATGCACTTCTATATAAATATCACATTCATGAGAGGGTGATATTGCATATTTTCACCCCAAGGAAGCATTGTTAACCGATGTTGGGTCAACGTTTTGAGTTTGGGGAACTCGCCTGCAGTGATAATGAGGCGTTGATCCGTACGTTTATAATACAAAGAGTACGTACGCTGACAAGAACATGTGTTTCCCTCCACTTTATTCACCGGAAACAACAACCTCGCAACTAATAAAATTGACAAAAGAAGCCGGTCTCCGGACAGGAGATCCGGAATTAAAAACAAAGCCGGATTCCGTACCAGTAATTTTTTTGAACTAGTCAGGAAGCGCCAATTTAGTACTAATTTCATATTAAAAACTAATGATATGTTTAGAAATATGATGTTACGAATTACAAGGTAATGAAAAATATACATGTATAGTATCATAATAACATGCATTTTGAAATGACCATCTTCAGTTTGTAGTAGACTGGTAGCACAAGTGTAAGCATTATCAACTAATAAGCATGGTTTGAAAACACAGTTTGATATAGATATATGTATCTAATGTGTATCCTACAATCACATCAGAGCATAAACCAGAGTAGAACAGATATACATACAAGCCATAGAAATAGTAGAAAATCAAAAAAAATCTATATGTAACCACATACCCCTCTTATAATCACCTATAAGCGCTACTAGGTACAAACACTCACATACACGCTTGGTAACATATATAATACAGTCAACCACAATATTTCATGTTTGAATCCAAATACTCAATAGTCTGCAATCTGTCTTTGGCTATCTATTTCTCAGAACAAGTGCATCAAATATCTTTAACATGCATTATATACCAGTGATACTGTAATGGCTTGACACATTGGGAAGATGGCAATCAATACATTATGTTTCCTGCATTCAATGAAATATATCCATATGTAATACTCATTTTAAGCACATTCTTTGTGAAGGAAAAAAATAAAATAATAATGGTTGATCAAGGTAACTATAGGCTTCATTGGGGAACAACGTCCATCAAAAATGAATAAGTATCCTCTAGAATGTCACGATCTAAGATTCACAAATCATTATGTTAATAAGTGTTCAATTTGATAAATGTCTACTTATACACAAGCTTCTGAGGAAGATCGCTTCTTTTTCCTGTTAAAAATGCTAGCATGTCCTTGCTGTCAATAGAAACACATGCTTCAGGGACTGATGTCGGTACTGACCTAGCAGCTTTCAAACGTGGTCCCGGAGACGGCACAGAATGAGATGATACATGATGAACAATAGCATTATGTAGCACTGGGGCAAAAGTAGTTGGCTGTTGATGTTGAACCTTGGGTTTTGCATCAAGTTTCTCACAAACTGGTTCCACACTCACAGTATTACAAATATGTTTATCTTCATGTTGTATGAACGGCTCACCAGTTGATCCTCGTGGATATGGTGAATGATCAGGAGACATCGGTTTCTTTTCATGGGAAGACCTTTTCCTCTGCTTCCACTCCCTCCTTCGTTTCCTGTCATATCGGAGTTGGGACGGCGACTTGTGCTTCCTGATAACTTGAACAGGAGGTGCCTGCACACTGTCACTCGCTTTTGAAGTAATGACATTTAGTTTACGATATGGCATGCTTGCTTTTGTCCATTTTAATGTAAGGGAAACACTGTCCGTGTTCTCACTCAAAACAAAAGAACAGTCTAAATTAGCGAGCTCCAAATCGTAAGTTTTCAAAATATGCAACACTTTATCCGGAATCATAGTGGTGAGTTGATCAATTTATAAATAAGTCACATCAGTCATCACGGATCCAAACATGCAACACGGGACAGAAAGTCATTCAAGAAACAAAACGTGGTAAATATCTGCCTGACATCTGACGCACGTTAATTAAACAAAAATACAACTCAACCGGCAAGTGCCGGGCCCAAAACCACACTCAAAGTTATATCACTCTACATTATGTCCAAAAGTCATCCATGAGTTAAGATATAACAATTATATATAGTATGCGCAGATTCCCATATAACACGTGGTGGGCAATTTTGGCACTCATGTTCACTCGTGTTAGTAAGTTCGGGAGAGTCGTTCATAAAATATCAATTATATGCAGGATAATCATACCAAATACAGCTGAGGATTCTCCACCATGTTGGGTCAACGTTTTGAGTTTGGGGAACTCGCCTGCAGTGATAATGAGGCGTTGATCCGTACGCTTATAATACAAAGAGTACGCTGACAAGAACATGTGTTTCCCTCCACTTTATTCACCGGAAACAACAACCTCGCAACTAATAAAATTGACAAAAGAAGCCGGTCTCCGGACAGGAGATCCGGAATTAAAAACAAAGCCGGATTCCGTACCAGTATTCCGGAATTACAGTGATAAATTAGAGCTACCTGACCAGTATACCTGTGTGTACACAACACCGAGACGAAGCCGAGGTCAACAATGCTTTCCGAGGGGTGAAAATATGCGTGGCTGCAGATCCTGCTCGTTAACAGCGGCAAACCTTCCTGTTGCCATCCCGTCCATTTGTCGTCTGGTACAAATAAACAATCAAAGTTAAAAAGACGCTTTAACAAACGCATCGCCAGTAGTCGACAAATGTTTCAGAAAGGTTTTCACTGGGATGAACCAAGGGCGCATACATTCGGCGCATGTAACAATTTTTGGAATAACACCCTGGCACTGGGACGAACCGTGCACGCATACGTTTGGCGCATGTGATATTTTTTGGAATGTCACCCTGTCTTCTTTATCTTTGTAAAACGAGCAAGTAACAGAGAAAATGTTCACATCTTTCTCAACCAATCATATTACGAGATTTTAACAGAAGGTATATATAACAAAAGAAATTATATCACAGATAACGAGCGAGAGCGACGTCCCAGCCGGTGACGGTAATGCATTCGAAGCTTACGAAGCTGTAGGCGGCGATACACACGATACAGTTAAAGAAACTTTTGATTTATTCAATAATTACCTCAGTACACAGTTGGTGAATTTCAAACGCGATATTACTCAGGCTAATGAGATATCGTCAGAGAAAGCTACAAAAAAGCTTAAAGAAGATTCTACAGTGAAATTCTAGAAAGCCGGGAACAAAGTTCAATTTGAATTCAACAAAGGAACTCAGGAATCACTGGAGGCTGTGGACAAGGCTATTCACAAGAAGGATACTGACAGGGCCAGAGATATTGTTTCGGATATTACTTGTACTGTTAAGAAACGTAATAAACTTATTCGTCTGGCCGATAAATCGCCTGCCGGGTGGGAGATCGTGAAGGAGTACGAGTCTGACGAGCTAGCCTCGGACTTCGACGATGAGAAGCGCATTAGGAAAGCAGAGTTCCGCGCTTTAAAGAACATGAAAACGAGAAAAAATGATGGTGCGGCACGTTGCCGTAATTTTGCTACCAGTACTGTTACTGGTCCTCAGGCTGGGAGAGACGGCGAGAGAACGTCATATATATGTTGTGTCAAGGGTCTGTTTACATTACGTCATCAGGGCTTCCACCGGAAGTAATACGACAAGGACCCCGTGTTGCTTGAGTAAATATTCCTTGATCCCAACTCTCTTCCTTCCAGGATTCCAGACTGTACGGACGGCTTATCTCTGCTTTGCATATTGTAGACATTGTAATCCATTAGTCATACAGTTTGCTCTACTTATAGTAGTGACAGTTTTTCGGTGACCTCGCATATTGTTGGGTACCGTGCCAGATACATATTTACTAGTATTATGAGCTATATTACTTGACCTGACCTGTCCAGCGACACTGTGATATGGTCAACCACGTGGCGGCTTGCATTGACCAAGACAGAAGGTAATTATTACTTCATATCAACGGGAACGGCAGTAATCAGACGTCGACAAACAACGCCTTTCAAGGGAGGGGATCGAACGCGCCCTTTCGTGTCAACACCGGGAGACCAGTGTCTTCATGTTTACAAGTTTATTGGCTTTCCTCATATACATTAAAATGTACAACATGAGCAGGGATGTGTACTACACATCCCTGACATGAGGTATCAGAGTATAATAATACACATGTGATGACAAAACGGATGGCAAGTTCACAAAACAGTAATCATGATACATATTACAGCGGTTTGTTATTTTTTTCCAACAAAAGGCAAATTCCATTTAATACTGTCGTGTTACAAAATGACAACAGACCATTCATTTTAATTTGAGCCGGATTTTTTCTATAATACAGAGGAATATATTTTTCTCTAAGCTCTACAATTATTAAATTTGTACATTTGAATAAATAGTGAAATTCGTCGCCTATCTCATTTTTACATAGAGTGCATTTTCGGTCTTGTTTTTGGATATTATGCCTCCTACCCGTTTCAATGGGAAATTTCATATTAGAACATCTAAATTTGCATTATATTGATCTGGGTTTTTTTCAGAAAGGCGAGTCAAATAAGGCTCAAGAACATGTTTCTTCTTACAATTACCATAGAGTTCACCTCGTGATGAATTTTGAATGTTTGCATGCCATCTTTATAAAAATTGATCAATAAAAATTTGTTTGACAGTGTTTTTAATATAATGTTTACTAATAGGTTCCTGTTTTATAAAAATAGAACTTTGTCCGACTTCATCAAAACACATTTTTATATATTCTAACCATTTAAGCTTACACAAATTATTGGCTTGAAGTTTGAACATTAACCTATACATATGGCAACTAAGTTTAGAGGTATTCGTTAAGAGTGAGTTATAAAAAGTCATCATTCTCAACTTAACAGCTATCTCAAGCAAAATTTCACCTAATTCACACTCTATCATAAAGTTTGGAGTCGAAGTTCTCAGGCCCAAAATTCGTCTGCAAAATTTCAAATGAGTTTGTTCTACTATTTTGATATTTTCGTAACCCCATATTTCAGATCCTTATAACAATATAGGACTAACTAGGGTATGAAACCATTTAAGTTGCAAGTCCATTGGAAGATGTTGATTTTTTATATTACGATACACAGAAATAATGGAATTTTGTGCTTGCTCACAAAGCTTTCGTTTACATTTCAAAAAGCTACCATTGTAATTAAATGTCACACCCAGATAGCTGAAATTGTCCACTTCTGCAAACTTTACCGTTAATTCTAAATACATTGTTATTATTAGATTTGCGTTTACAGAATATAAGTATTTTTGTTTTCTTCACATCAACTTCTAATTTCCATATATCACAGTATTTCTGAAAAAACGTTAAGAGCATTCTGCAAACCTTCAGCAGAATCAGAAAGAAGAATTGTATCGTCAGCGTATAACAGGACAAAAAGATCCACAAACATATTCAGCTCAGTCTGAAATTTATCTTTCAATTGTTCTAAGGGAAGTGAACTTTTTGCTCTAAAAAAGTCTTCAATGTCATTAAGGTAGATAGAAACTAAAAAGGGGAAAGATTTTCGCCCTGCCTTACACCAACTAGACAAGGAAATAACTCAGACTTGGTGTTTTTAATTCTACACATGGTTTTATATTTTCATACATGTTTTTGATAATAGTAAAGCATTTGCCTCTTATTTTGCTTTTATATAGTTTTCTGAAAAGTCCTTCTCTCCAAACCGTATCAAACGCTTTTCTAAAATCGATAAAAGTCGTATACAGTTTTTTGTTACTGGCCAAATATAAAGATAACAGCGTGTGCAATACAAAAATATTGTCAACCGTGGAGTGACCTTTACGGAAACCTGCTTGATTAGGAGAGATTATATTATGTTTATCTGAGTAGTCATTAAGCCTGTTGTTCAAAATATGTGTAAACAGTTTCCCGATACAACTTATCAGTGTGATACCCCGGTAATTATCTGGGTCTTTGGGGTCACCCTTTTTCTTATAAATTGGTTTTATTATCCCAATTGTCCAGGATTCAGGGATCACTCCAGATAAATGTGTTACCGGTGTGGAGAGTTCGGTCACTGGAGGTGGCAGTGTGGCAAGACAAGGTCGGACACAACAGGAGACATTAAAGGCAGTAAATGAGCAGGGACACGATATCAGTGATGAGTACTTTTTTTTTACATATTTTGGTAGGGACCTCCGTTCAGTAAATGACCTGATATTTCAAAAACAATGTTTTGAGCTAGAAGAAAAGCGTACTTGTTGTTCAGAAATGTCTGTAAAAGGACGATTAAAAAGTCACATTGATTTTTGGCGTGAAATTGAAGCTAATAAGCATATTTTGAGTATCGTTGAATATGGGAACGTGATCCCGTTTTTGAGCGAACCTTCCAGGTCATTTACACGTAACAATAAGTCTGCCCTGGATCACGCAGAATTTGTTACGGAGGATGTAGGTGATCTAGTAAATCTAGTAAAAAAAAAAACAGTGTGTGATACAAGTACCGTTCTGCCCCGTAAAAGTGAATCCATTGACCGTGTCGGTAAATAAATCTGGTAAGAAACGGCTTATATTAGACCTATGGAAAGTCAATGAAGTAGTGTTACATGAGAAAATTAAATTTGAAGATTGGAAGGTTGCTTTACAATTGTTTACGGACGGGGGTTATATGTTTAAATTTGACCTCAAATCGGGGTATCATCATGTAGATATTGCAGCCGCTCACCAGACTTACTTAGGTTTTTGTTGGGAACAAAAGTACTATTGTTTTACTGTTAAACCATT